GGTAAAATCACACAGATTTGGGGTGAAATTCTGTGGTTTAGGGGTGAAGTCTCAAAATTTTGGGGTGAAATCCCAGAATTTTAGGTAAAATCCCACATTTTTTGGTAAAATCCCACATTTTTTGGTAAAATCCCACAATTCGGATAAAATCCCACAATTTTGAGATGAAATCCTCTGCTTTTGGGATGAAATCCCACAATTTGAGGTGAGATCCCCTAACTTTGAAGTGAAATCCCATAATTTTGAGGTAAAATATCACAATTTGGGGTAAAATATCACAATTTTGGGCAAAATCCCACCATTTTGGGTAAAATAACACAATTTTGGGTGAAATCCTGTAATTTTGGGGTGAAATCCCACCATTTTGGGTAAAATACCACAATTTTGGGTGATATGAGACAGTTTTGGGTAAAATACCACAATTTTGGTGTAAAATCCCACCATTTTGGGTAAAATCCCACCATTTTGGGTGATATGAGACAGTTTTGGGTAAAATCGCACAATTTTGGGTAAAATCGCACAGTTTTGGGTAAAATCCCACAGTTTTGGGCAAAATAACACAATTTTGGGTAAAATAACACAATTTTGGGGTGAAATCCTGTAATTTTGGGGTAAAATACCACAATTTTGGGTGATATGAGACAGTTTTGGGTAAAATATCACAATTTTGGGTAAAATCCTACAGTTTTGGCTAAAATCCCTTAATTTTGGGTTGAAATCCCGCAATTTTGGGTTGAAATCCCGCAATTTTGGGGTAAAATCCCCAATTTTGGGGTAAAATCCCCAATTTTGGGGTAAAACCCCGTAACTTTGGGGTAAAACCCCACTTTTTTGGGCTAAAATCCCACTTTTTTGGGGTGGAAATCTCCGCTTTTGAGGTGAAATCCCAGAACTGGGGTAAACCCCCCCAATTTTGGGGTAAAATCCCCAATTTTGGGGTAAAATCCCCAATTTTGGGGTAAAACCCCGTAACTTTGGGGTAAAATCCCACTTTTTTGGGTTAAAATCCCACAATTTTCGGGTGGAAATCTCCGCTTTTGAGG